TATCTATCTATCTATCTATCTATCTATCTATCTATCTATCTATCTATCTATCATCTCCCCTGCAGTTTTCTTGGCCAGATTTTTGGAAGTGATTTGCCACTGCCTTCTTCACAGGGCTGAGAGAAAGGGATTTGCCCAAAGTCACCCAGTTGGCATCATGCCTGAGGTGGGACTAAAACTCATGGTCTCCTGGTTTCCAGCCCAGAGCCTTTAACCTCTACCCCAAATATATAAATATAAACATAAATAAATAAGAGTCTGGGAGTCTTTTATTTTTTCTTACAAAGTGCCAGATTTACAGCAGCAGAGACTTTCTTGTCAACACATTTTTTTTTATTTCTGAGGTCTATTCTAATTTATTGTTGTCCCCTTCTTTGATAATATATCTTCACCAAATGGGAAAGGTCTTTTTCCCCCCCTTTTTAAAAGGAACCACTAGTTACTAGTTCAGTCTAGGTCAATGAAGTGTGACAACTCCCATGCCTTTCATAACCGAGCATAGGAATTTCTGTTCCATCTCTCCATTGCCTGGGGTCTTCAGCAACATTCTACCTGCTTCTTCTTGTTTAAGTGGAAAACACAACAGATCTGGCATACTGGCAAAGCATTATTAACCAGCTTTTTCAAGAAGCAAGTTTCTGTTATAGGTTACCTCTTCACACTAACCTGAGTGTGAAGGCTGAAACTAGGCACAGGAGATTCGTAATTAGAGTTTCTACCATCCTTTTTTTAGGTTCAAAAAGACATACAGGGTGGAGGGAGGGAATGGATACGTCTGCACTTTTAACCCTACAAGGCAGAACAGGTTCCTCATTTTGGAGGTAGAGCTGTCACTAGGCACCACCCACATGATTAATCATAGCCTAAGCATGTTTATAATTTGTACTTATGGAGAAGGAAAAACCTCTTTGCAAATACATCTTTTAATTGCTTTAGAACCATTCTAAAATACACTAAATTGTTTGGATATATTAAATGTAGCCAATTCAAGGTAGCAAAGAGATTAAATCAATTCTGGTTTCAGTTGTGTAAATAGATTCCAAGAATCAAACAGAGACTCCACCAAGGACTCCACAATCAAACAGAGATTCAGAAGTGATTGCCTAATTTAAATCCTACAAATAACTCATGAAGCAATTTACAGGAGTGTGTATGAAAAGGAAAACACCTATTACTCAACAGTTTAAATTTCATTTCTTGAGAGTTGCTCAAAGGCAAAGGAAAGTTCACAATATAGGGATTTCTGCAAGGAGTCACCTTCCAGTTTGGAGGTACTTCAGAATTTAATTTAATGCAAAACACTCTTTTGTACAGTATAATTAATAGTTGGACATCCACATGTGGTTCAAAATCTTATATGAAGGAAAGCCCATCATCCTTCAAAGTACTTTCTTCCATTTGAGTTGAACTATCAATTTCCTAATCTTTAGCTAAAATCTATTTGAGTTAGTTTTCAGATGTTTTGATCCAGTCTGTCAATTCAAGACAGATGCCACCCAAAAGAGATGCGCCATTTAGCCCATTGCATAGTTTGGGTGAGAAATGGAGGTACAGAAATATAAACTTTGATCTCACTGTAAATAGCACTTCTGGTACATATTTTCAGTGATTTCACTAGCATCAGTTACTGCAACTATATATGGGTTTGTCAAACTGGGGAAATTTAATAGAAAAGCAAGGCCAGGAGGAATGAATGCTAGCTATTGGTGTGACCTTGGGTTCTGTGATAGTTAAGGTTTCTCTTCTGTTTTATTTTTTTTCTAAATTTGTAGGCATTTAAACTCAGTGTAATTCACTGAGGCTTGCTAAAACAGTAAGCCAATTTAAAACAGTAAATTTGATCATAAAAAACAAGAACAGGCTAACAGAGGTCTCAAAGTGTGAAGACGATTCTTTTTTTTTTTTAAATCACATCAAAAGTGTGGTGGTAGCATATCTGAGGCGTAAAAGAGGAGGAACTTATCATATTTTAAGGTGGTCTTCTATAATATAAGCACCACCACAGAAACGGCTTTGTCTTATACACCCACCATTACAGTGGGTAAGCACAAAGCTTTTTCTCTTAACTGCATTTCTTCCCTCCCTCCCCTCTGGTTCTTAGCATTACCTGACTGCACTTGGAGGTCTCGTTGCAATTCCTCTCATCCTTTCCAAATCACTTTGCCTGGAGCAGGACATCCTGACACAGAGTTACCTGATCAGCACCATCTTTTTCGTCTCAGGGATCTGCACTCTTCTTCAAGTCATCTTTGGAGTAAGGTAGAAATATATCTCTGGAAATAGCATCGTGCCTCTTCCCAATCACATGTACTCATCCCATCAGGTACAGCAGGAAGGGTATGTTGCAGGTCCCATCTGCTAAGGAATTCCATTTGTCAGGACCCGGAAGACATGCCTTTTCTGCTGTGGCTCCTGCTCTCTGGAATATCATTCCCCCCAAGGTGAGGTTAGCCCCATCCCTGCTAGTCTTCCAGAAAGCCCTTAAAACGTGTTTTTCTGGCAAACCTGAGGATTCCATGGGGAGCCTGATTGGTGGTTATAGGATGTTAGGTGATTGTTATTCTCCTGCAATCTTGGTTTTTTTATGTTTTTACTTTTAGTCATGTTTCAGTGTTTTAAGATTGTTATATTGTTTTAATTGTTCCTGTGCTTGTATGCCACCCAGAGTCACATTCTGTGAGATGGGTGGCTATCTAAAATTGCTGAATAAATAAAATGTTATTTACAAGTAACCAAAATGGATAGGGTGTGACATCACTGTTAAAATAAACGGAATTAATTGTAGTATTTTCTCATTTCAGTCATTGGATTTCAGGGTGTTTGATGGCAAGTTGACAGGAAAAAAAGTAAATTTTGTGTAAATATAGTATACCACTCTTACAGTCTGACTAGGAAATTGTACTGGACTCCCTTGTAGTGGGAGTATTGATGAAATGGAAAATGTGGATTTCTTTTGAGCCCCAAACATATTATATTTTGGAAGTTCTCCTAGATGGGCTATGATTCAGCAGAAAAAAAAATCCTGAGTTATTTTATGGCGTAAGTAGGGTCAGTGGCTTTTTTCTAATCCTACACCATCCCAAAACATTTATTTCTGATACAGAAATTCATTCCATGTCCAGACAAAATATGCATGTTTTAATTCACTTGGACCTAGATGTTTTGTGTATAGAACTATTTGTGCACAAATTATTTCCGTATTTGTAGTGAAGTGATTTGGATTATACATTTTGAATAATTTGCAGTTAAATGCTGATTATGTAGATTATTGTATTGAATAGGATACCTGCTGGATAGGTTCAGTCCCAGTGTCCAGCTTCTTCTGTTATCTTTTCCCAATTGTTTTCTTAATAGCTAAAATTCATTGACTCTAGAATGATATGATCATCTGTTTCTGCTAAGAGGCATATTTTTCACAATACTGATATGAAGAATCTTTTCATCAGCTGATTCCAGTAGGAAATAATGAATTCTTGTATGGGGCTCTTAATTCATGCTAAACCTGTATAATGATTGGTGGGTGTTTTAAAGCAGAGGTAGGGTGTTATCTTCTTTCTTACACTCATTAAAGCTCATGTCACTAGCCTGAAAGAATTCCAAGGCCCATCCATCCATTCGTATGATCATGGAGGGAATCTAAACATGTCCTGACAGGATGCAGTGTCTTGTTATACTCCAAAATGACCCCTCCTGTTTCTTTGATATACACCCTTCCTTCATTTTTTCCTCTTGATTTTTAAAGAGCAGGTGTAACCTGGCCTCTTATTTTTTGGACCAAAAATTATAGCTCCTTGATCTGAGGCATGTGCTTAATTTGGATCAACTTTCCAGGGTTTGTTTTTCTGCAATAAAATCACACAAACACATATTTTTCTTTGCAATACAGTACAGATAATGGTTTGGGTGTGAGGGAGGGACTATGCACAAAGACGTTTTTAATGAAAATTTCCTTTTTTTAAATGAATGAAACCAAATCTGTAGTTACAACCAGGAATTTACTGGGAAAATGGGATCACAGGAAAAAGAATGGAAGACAGCAATCACTCACACAGTGCTAAACAAAATCAATACAGTCAGCCTTGCTAATCTATGTATTTATTACCTGAGTTGAATAGGCTCTTGGGATTCAGGAGATGTTCCCAGTTCATTTAACAGAGGGAATACTTTGAAATAAATAATCTGGGCTTCCTACTTGGATGCTATTAGACAAACCTTCCTATACCTTGCTATGCTAAATCTCTGTGTTCTGACTCTAGCCAAGAAATCAGAAAATTATATAGCAATATTTAAATAAAAGGATATTTTAATTTGGATATACAGTATGCACCAAGCTGGGATTGGATTCAAGGGCCTAAATGGCTTCCAACTGTAGATTCTTTGATTTATCAATTTCATATCATGCATCTGCTACAAAAATATCAGTGTAATCTCAGTGCTCTATGTGATGAAAGCTCCTAATAAAGTATAGTAAAATGCCTTGAGGGATCCTATATTGAAAAACAAAATAGCTGTTTGCAATCCTGGGAGAAGAAAGCATGCATGTAGAGGAAGCATGTGCAGACCTGTCAAGGAAAGGCAAATTCAAATGAAATATTAGGAATCTGACAAGAAGTGCTAGAGCAGATCAGTTACTCAAAATGAAGCAGCTTCAGAGTTCCTTTTTGACAAGGATTTTTATTAACAACCTTTAGAGAGTATCATGAGACTTTTTGAAAGGGACACATGCCACTCTGTATGCATCTTTGTTCTTTTGAGACTGAAGGAGAGGAAACAGAGCAGCTTCCAAGACACTGTGTTGTTTACTCAACAATGAAACCCTCAGATTTGGACAACAGATGCTCTTTGTTTAGAATAAAGCAAGATTCTAATTTATTTAAGACTCTTTTCCCTTCCCTACCTTCCTGGAAGATTTTTCAATTTCACAATAACCCCTTTGATTCTGCTATGAATCACCAAATCACATCCAGAGCTACTATGTTAAATCTGTTCTGCTAATTTTTTACTTACTACAGAGAATTTACTGTTACAAGAGGCTTGCCCTCTGCTGTAGAATTAGGAAGCTTTTATGGAGCCCTGGGACAAAATTGGTGAACGCTATCCAACAATTACGAGAGATTACCAACACATTTTAAAAGCTTGATTTTATCAATATGAGCATCTCATATTCACTTTCTTACTCATTCTGGTCATACATACAAAATGTGTTAGGAGTCATGTCAAAGACCCTAACAATGATGTCAGTGACAAACAGGTATTTATGCCAGACAATTAAAATTGTTTCTTTTGGGGAGGTGGAGAAATGAGGTGATATAAGGCCCAGTTCAGGAGCTTTATCCTGCCTCCTTCCCACAGTGCTTCTCACTGTAAGATCACTTTCTAAGGGGTTTTCTTTTTCCACAGGCTCAACATAACACCATTATTTTTGTTGGGTTATGTGAGAGGCTTACCTCTATTCATCCTTACAATTCTGTGCAGATACATCTGACTTATTGTACCTCTGTTAACATGAACTTTGAAAAATAAGATGTATGCTTCTCCCTGAACACTGTTCCTACCTTTCTTATGATAGAAGAGAAAAGATTAATTCAAAGTTTGGATTACTTTGCAGGGGCATAAAGTATTCAGATGGGTGTCACTTCGAAAGGGAGAAGGACGCCTGTCCTTCCAGAACAATGTGGCAAAGGGGCTTCCGTAGGACTGCATTCACACTTCGCAGAACTGACAATCTTTTAGGGAGTGGAAAGAAGAACCCAGATGAAAGGCTGTAGCTAAATGGTTGAGTGCATGATTTAGATGAGGAACATCCCAGGTTCAGGTACTGGTAAAGTTAGGAAACTTCCTCAGCCCCAGAGAGCTGCTCCCAGCAGCCCTTTGCAGTCTCTGGCCTTCTAGTTGTGTTAAGAATTCTATGAATTGTAAGCCCATGCGTCTGGAGGACACCTGGTTCTGGAGAGTGAAGGGAAGGCAACATCCTGTGTTCTATCTCTTGGATTCCTATTAGGAGGTGCAAGGTCAAATCTTACTGATTATAGTTTTGTAAGCCACTTAGTTTCATTCAACTGAGGCAGTATCAAAGCAGTTGTAATCAATCTATTTATCTTGGAGGCAAAGAGTTACCTAAGTGCTCTCTTGTCCTCTCTCAAGACTGTTGTGACAGTGATTCTTGTGCTGCACTTAATGCACAGTGCCAATGCCTTGAGGTAAAAAGAGATTTCCTCTCTAGGAGGGATTATTGCAACTGTAAATACAAATTTGTTATTTGGGGATGTTTGCACTTTTAGATGTATTTTCTTCCATGTGTTGGTCAAGTAAGTGACCTAGACATTGGAAAACTGGAAGGCCAAGTAGGAACCTTGGAAGGGGAATTAAGCATACAAGAAACAATACTGTTGGGTGAGCTAATATTTCCTTCAAAGTTCAGTTGTAAAGTATAAGTCACTTCATCTTGGTTGGTAATCAATAAAATGCTTATTGGGATTCTTTTCAATAATCAGTAAAAGTCCAAGCTGTGGATTTTTAATGCCATAATGCAAGTTCAGCTGGACTACAGCTGATTATGAAGCCATGACAAACTTCTAAAGAACAGAGGAAATTCCTTTTTGCTAAGATTATTTTGCTCTACAGTTCTCTAAATCTGCTGAGAAAATAGCAACATCCTGCAGGTCAGCAAAAGGTAACAGATGAAAATAGTAACCTTTTCAGGAATCCCATTTCCTCCACACCCAGAACACGTCAATGAATGCCTCAGATGTATTCTGAAATTCCTATGACTTACTTCTTTAGTTTTCAGTGAGTTGGAAGGATTCTATTAAATGCCTTGTGCTGCAATGCATTTCTTAAAATAGAATGACTGAGTCCTGGTTTACAAAATAAAAACTTCCTTGTTCAAAGTCTTAAGTACATTCAGAGCAGTAACACTCTTTCATATACTATGTCAAGGTTTAGTTCGCTCTCTTAGTGGGAAGTCAGATATTAACAAGCCCTTTAAATGCTGAAACTATGAAGCAGAAATATATCAACATGGTTAAGAGAGGTTATGTATTTAAGTATGTTTAAATACATAACCTCTCTTAACCATGTTGATAAATTGGATTGATGTCGATATATTTGATTGCTGGAGAAGCAAAAAAGCAAGAGTATAAAAATGCAATGTGGGATAAAGGAGCATTTAGACGAATCTGCTTGGGCATGCATTTATTCTCAGTATGTAGGTCTGGTATGTAAAAAGGTTTGCTTGCATGTAGGGTTTAGGGGCCCTTTGCTGTGGTCTCTATGCAACATCCCGAGTACTGGATATATTGCAGGTATCAGTGAAACTACATTACAGACTTCAGATCGCTGTGCTTTGTGAACCTATTCAGTGTGGCACTGCTGGACATTTTTGTGATGAAACATTCCAGTTTAATTATCTAAGGCCCTAAAATGGCCTCTGTGTGAGATCCGTGGTGTCTTCTTATAACTGTATGATAGCACAATGTGTCTCCAGGGGCATAAAGAACGGGGATTACTTGAATGCACCTGCACATTCCAATGATGTCCTTATCTCTGCAGAACACTCGAAAAACTTTAAGATCAAGAGACTTGCAGGAAGGGGGTAAAAAATGGCAGTTTGTGTTGTGGAGCTAATTTAAAGTTTGATTTCAGCTTGACTCAGATCAAGTTACATAATATACTGTACTTTAGCCACATTATTTAATCAAGGCTTGCAAGGACATATTTTTGCAACCTGCGATAAGAAATAGATCTTGTGCTTCAGAGAAGGAAGGAAATATTTAACTCTTCAACTGCCAGCCATTTTTAAAGAAAAATCTTTAAAACTTTGGAAGCTTCAGCTGGTGCAGAATGTGATGGCGAGGGCAGTTAATGGGTGCCCCTCAGAGGCTTAGGAAATGGAGTGATGTATAAGGTGACGTAACAAATAAATAAACTTAGTAATAAAGGGAGAGACACAGCATTGTCACATAACACCAATAATGTGGGAACTGCATTGGCAACCTGTCTCTTTCTGGGTGCATTTCAAGCTCCTGGTTATTACCTATAAACCTTTATATGGCTTGGGGCCTGGTACAGTGGAACCTCGGGTTACAAACGCTTCTGTTAACGAACTTTTCGGGTTATGACCAGCTCCGGCTGCAAAATTTTGCTTCGGTTTGCGAACTCCGCCTCGGGGTACGAACAGGATATGGGGCCATTTTCCCTCCCGTGACACGGTCCGCGGCCATTTTCCGCCCCTGACACATGGTCCGCAGCCATTTTTCTGCCCCTGACACGTGGTCCGCGGCCATTTTTCCACCCCGACACGCGATCCGCGGCCATTTTCCACCCCTGACATGTGATCCGCGGCCATTTTTCCGCCCCTGACACGTGGTCCGCGGCCATTTTTCCACCCCTGATACGTGGTCCGCGGCCATTTTCCACCCCTGACACGTGATCGTAGGGAGGGGGACTCTCCCTCCAAGCAATAGCCGCCTCCCTGTCCTCCACGCCAGAACAGATTAACGGTAATTACATTGAACCTTATGGGAAAATTTGCTTCGGGCTGGGACCAATTCGAGTCGCGACCAGAATCACGGAACGAATTAAGTTCGTAAACCGAGGTCCCACTGTATCTTCAAAACTGCCTTTTTAAAATCTAAATTGATTATAACCACCTGCTGCATGCAGAGTGTTGATTGAAGGTCCCCTTCTATTGAGTTGTTTGATGGAAGGGAGAACAGAAACAGTAATCTATAGGAACGCCCTTCTCTGGAACAGTTTGTTGTTGGTGGTAAGAGCAATCCATTTGCTTATGATCTTCCAGAAGACTGTCAAAACGTTGTTCTGGAAAGCCTTTGGGAAATAGAATAGTACTAAATTGTGTGAGTACATTGCAATGCCATCTAGTGTATATACAGGTATATGATGTATTTTGTATGCATTGCTCCATTTCTCATCTTTCTCCTCATTACAGGCTACCTATTCTACAAGGAGGAACCTTTTCATTTTTAACTCCTTCACTGGCCATGCTCAGTCTACCCTCCTGGAAGTGCCCTGCTTGGACCAATAATGCCAGCATGGTGGATCCTACTTCCCCAGATTTCATTGAGCTATGGCAGGTTCGAATGAGAGAGGTAATCCACTGAGGATGCTTGTATACTGTATATGTATGTATTTAGTGGAAATGTTTTGTTTTTGTGACGCACCTGACAAATTTGTGTAACTTCTCTTTCTTCAAAAGATATGGCAGTAGGAGAGCGATGTCACTTTGCCTTTCAAATAGTTTTTGATCAGTTACAGGGAGTAAAGATGTTATTTTTTTTCAGGATGAATTAACTGTTACAGCTTTCCTCAGTACCGTTGAGAATAGTAGCTCAATGTCCTCCAGAACAGCAGCCTGTCAAATAGAAGTGAATGATGATTGTTCTGCTCTTAAGATTAAGAGGACCTTTCATGGTCCTGCAGAAATATCTCTGGATCATGAACAAAGGAGGTATCAGGTGCAGGAATACCCAATATCAGTTCACTCATTCCCACCGCTTGCACTTTGCTGCTTCCTGTTTTTTACCTTAATCTCTTCCAAATCAGGAACGTCATCAGAAAAATGATGTTTCCCTTCCAGGTATTTCTTAGCCATTTAGAAGACAAACTAATAAAAGCAACTAATCAGTCTTCCTACTAAATATTAAATACATGGCAGCTTTGTTAGGATTAAGATGATATCCAATTCCATTAACCATCTCCTGATCGACTACCAACTGCTGCCAATCATACATCACCACTTGGAACTTAAATTCAAGGATTTCCAATTAGAATCAAATACATTTACAGTCTTTGTTGTTTCAGGTGCAGGGAGCAATTATGGTAGCTTCCTGCTTCCAAATTTTTATTGGCTTTTCGGGTCTCATTGGATTTCTGATGCGGTTCATTGGCCCTCTGACTATTGCTCCAACCATAACCTTGGTGGCACTGCCTCTCTTTAGCTCAGCAGGGAAAGATGCCGGAGAACACTGGGGTATAGCAGCCATGTAAGTTTCGTGTCCTTTTAATGACCAAAACACTGTAATGCAAACTGAGAATATAATGGTTTTTTATTGTCTTTATGGATTAATTAGAACAGAAACTTCTTAGCCCTTACATGTTTACACATGTGGTGTGCTAAACAAATGTGCATATTGTGAGAAACATGAATTAAATGAAGAATGTCCATAGTTTCCAAGTAATGTTGGAAAATATGCACAAATCAATCATGCAGACAGTTTATTTTGTAAAAAGTGCCTAGTCAATATATAATGTAGCGAATACTTATATGAATGTAAATGTAATGTAAAAATGAATGTAAATGGATTGAATGCATATTTTTTGAAATTTCACCTGGAAATTAAGTAACTTTGCTACACAAAATGTGGCATTCTCCATTTATGTTGCTAGTTCCTCACCTGCACATTCTTGATGTCTCTGAATCAGTATCCATATTCTTAATGTATGCCCCAGGGTGTATATGTGAGGACACTTTTTATCTTTATCCATAAAACCTCAATATTCGTAAAATATGAAGTAACTTGTTATTCTCCTCACAGACCCTTAATATTAGTTTTTCATTGTTTTTCACATAATAAAAATCATTGGATGCTGCCTTTTCTTTTTCTTTTGCAAGACACATAGAAGCAGTTCGTGATTAAAACAGATAAGCACAGTAACACATTAGCAGCTACATAGCACAACATCTGCTTTGCATCTTAACACAGGACAAAACCAGTGAGTTTACTGACACTTATCCCTAGTGCAGTATGGTGGTTAAGGCGTTAGACTTGGATTAGGGAAACACAGTTCAAGTCTCCATTTGACTGTGGTGCTCACTGAATGATTTTGGGATAGTCGCTTTCTCGCTGTTTTGCAGAGATGATTGAGGGGTGGGGGTGGGGCATATTGAGGGATTCACATGAACTTTGCCTTGAGCTCCCAGAGGAATGGTAGAATATAAAAGTAGTGTAACAACATCAGCAACAAATTAACAGAAGACCATGGCTCCCAAAATACAAAAATCCAGTCTTAAGAATTTATTAAACATTTCCAAATAAATTAAGGGCATTTAGAATATTATTAAACTAAATGGATCCTTTGCAACACAGTAAAGAAAAAGAATGTTGAAAATGGAGATGTAGTATTCTGTCCTTCAAACTAAGTATGTGGTGTGTTAGTATTTGCAAACATCAGTATTTAAATTTATAACTGTAAAGGTGTTACATTAATTTCTGAATCAGAATATCATAAATGTAAATCTTTCTTTTTCTTCTTTACTGCTTTAGAACAATTTTCTTCATAGTTTTATTCTCTCAGTATCTGAAAAATGTGCCTGTTCCATTACCGACTTACCAGAAAAGCAAAAAATGCCATTTCTCCAAGATCTACCTCTTTCAGATCTTTCCAGTGAGTAACTGTAATGATTTTTGAGTAACTAAGTACATACACACAAAAAGCAGAATAATTTAAAAGAGACCCCCAAGAATTATCACTAACTTCTGCTGGAAACAATACAATGAGCTAAGTAAGTTTGTGGTTCACAAATTCAGCCTCCCAAGGTCATGTCAGTGATTGAGGCGGTGTATAGATAGATGGAGAGGTGGGGAGATAGGGGAGGAGAGAGAGAAAGAGAGAATGAAATGCTTCATGCTGTACTAACCTGCCAGGTCTTAAGTGAGCTAATGGATTTATTTTGTTTGGACAGTGCTACAATTTACTCTGGATCTTGAAAGTTGAAGTATAGAAACTAGAAATTTTAAGTCAGACTTTCTCAGATGTTTCCCCATGTAACTGAGATGTTCCAGTGGTTTTTTTTACTCATTAGTAGCAGGACTGGCCCTACCATTAGATAGAATAAGACATGTCTAGGAGGAATGGAAGCAAGAATTTGTTTGTAGGGCATAAGCAGCTCTATTTTCAGTCTGCCCAGCAGCTCATCAGATAGCCTGCTGCACTCTGGTGTGTTGGAACTCACTCTCCTATCACCACTGCTTTCACCTGTCAGTCCTGTTGGCTTCTGAGTATGCAGTTGATGTTTGGAGGGTAGCAGATCTTGGCCATTTTTACGTCTTGGGGTAGGCTGAACAATTGGGCTAAAGGACTAAGTTAATGTTCCAGTTAATTTGAAATGAGAGTACATTATGGGCAGACAAGTCAGATAATTTGAGAGTCAGTGACTCAGTTTTGGAGTTTCTCTGTATTTGTCATTTGTTTTACTGCAACAACTATTTAGAATAGAACCTATTTTTAAACATTCTGAATTATTTAGCTTGAAATGTTGCTATTTTAAATGTTATGTATATTGGATTTGAAGTGCAAAAACTTGTAGTTACAGAACAGAATATGTATAAGTATAAGTATTCTGTACTTATAAGTATAAAGCCAGAATAAGTATAAAGACTGCTAACACTACTATGAGAATAACATAGCTAAGCACACTTTAGAATTATTCAGAAGAAGTGATTTGGGCTTCCCTGCTATTTATTAAAAGACACTTTACTTTTTTTCAGGATTTTGTGTGAGCCTGAAGACATGTGCTACAGTTATAATGAATTAAATGATGAGTAGTGCATCTTTAATGTGACTTAGGTAGCATCTTTTCTCAGGACTATGCAGAAAATAGACGTGTTTTTTAAGGAATGGCAGGAAGGAGTTGCGGTCGCAGCAGTTCTAAAGCACTTCTAAAATCTGTTTTTGAAGATGCCCAGCTCTAGAGAGTAAAGGAAAGAGTCTTGATGGGAGAAGCTTTCGCCCAGCAGTTAGAATCAGTTTGTGGTTTTGGTTATGTTGATCTTACCAAGCTCATATGATAATGCAAAGTATAAAACCATAGCCGAGGTTTTGGATGTCTTACAAAAAGAGAAACACGGAATTATTCTGGAAAAAAACCTTTATATAATAGCAGCTTTGAGGCAACAGGTTATAGATATTGATACTCAACTAGATTTGGCATTTCTTCCTAAGGACATATTCCCAACTAGCTCCTTTATCCTTCTTAGACCTGCCAATACATAAACCAAATTATAATCTCTAAATATAAGACAGCATTCTCCTTGGCACAATTTAATGCCCTCCCTCTCCCTAAGAGAGGAGATACAAGGAGGGCATCCCATTTAGATTAAGGTTTTGCATGTGGCAGAGGGCCAATTGAAAGTATAAAACATGCTTTATTATCTTTCTCATTTTATGTTGATACACATTTTGAGTTAATAGCCCCATACTTAAAGAAATTCCCCAGTCATTCCGACCACTTCTATATACAATTGTTACTTTCAGACACATGTGATGCTGTTACTTTGAGTGTAGCTACATTTTTGTCATATTATATGTAAAATGCATAACCACTTGATCAATATGCTCAGTTAATTTTATGACTAGCTTTTACTCATATATATGTAACCTGTCTTATGTTATTAAGTTTTATTATGTACTGGTCATTGACTACAATAAAAATAAAGCCATAGCCATATTATTCAGTAATCCTAATGGCTCTACTGTAAATTCAGCATAACTGCAAGGAATAAATGAATAAGGAATATAAATAAATGAGAACAACACTTGTTACAATTATATAGAACTTCCTGCTTTGAGGTCTGGGTCTACTCACTAACAAAGATTCCTTGTCATCTGTGACTGCCTAGGTGCTGTTTGCTCTCATAATTACGTGGCTATTTTGTTTCATACTCACCATTACCAATGTCTTCCCTTCGGATGCGGGGACTTATGGTTATTTAGCTCGGACTGACAACAAAGGTGATGTCCTGACCAAGGCACCCTGGTTTCGATTTCCTTACCCAGGTATTCTCATGCCGATGCTCTTTCCTATTTGGAATGACAAAACAAAATGGAAGAAAATTTCAGTTTCTTCTACATAAAAATGTGTTTATGTTGTGGCTGGTTAGACCTGGAAAACACAAGTAGCACCCCATTTATATCGAATCCCTTCATCATTTATGTCCGAGCTCTTTGGCCTTTTTAAATATCCGAGTTCTTGGGAAATTCTTGGGAATAATTTTTGATCAGTACTACGTAAGCAAGCTTCCTATTCAATAATGAAAAATCCCAGAGTAAAAGCAACATAAAAAACAAAGGGGCTCCCCCACTTTTCTTGTGTCTTGTTGCTTCCCATTTGGATTTCTGTTTGCTTTGGACTTTTAAAACTATGATTGTAATGATGTATAGAGTCCCCCCCCCCGTCAAATTAAATAAACTGTTGGAACAATCTCTTATTTTTTATCTAAATGCGACAACATACAGGAGACTAGGCTACTATTATGAAATTATGTAAGATTCTTGCAAGGAATTATTTAGAGTACATACTTTTATCTCTGTTGAATACTTCAAATAAAAAATTGCAGGTGAATTTATGAGTTTCAGGTCTTCAGTTTTAGCATGTATGTTTGTTCTCTTCAGGTCAGTGGGGAGTGCCCACAATTAGTTTGGCTGGTGTATTTGGCATCATGGCGGGAGTGTTCTCCTCCATGGTGGAGTCGGTGGGAGATTACTATGCCTGTGCTCGTTTGTCTGGTGCTCCGCCTCCTCCCGAGCATGCAGTCAATCGTGGCATTGCAATAGAAGGGATCGGCTGCCTTCTGGCTGGAGCCTGGGGAACAGGAAATGGTACTACTTCTTACAGTGAAAATGTTGGCGCTTTGGGGATCACTCGGGTAAGTCTGATTTTGGAGGATCAGAACCAAAAGTGGCCATGCGTAGCTAAGAATACTTGAAGAAAAGCCTGTGCATCTTCTGTTTTGGAGATAATTCGGGGGCATTTTTTAGGATGCATATTCTTTTGTTATGGGGCATTGACACTTTTGGATATCTGATCTGAGACCGTGGTTTAAATTTTCTAATATTGCTCTGGGTTTGCACACTGCAAGGAAGGTCAAGGTAAGGAAAAAAAGAGTGGGGAATCCTTAATAAAATTAAGAAACCAACTGCACTGGTTTGGCACAATTTTAACTGAATGTGGGTGATTCTTTAGCCTTCTAAAAACAACAGCTCAGAGTTCAGGGTGGTGGTCTGAAAAGGGAGGCAGCCATGCCCTTCTACTCTCCTGTATTTGAAGCACACCACAGAGTTTGTTAAGCTTCCAGATTTTAAAAACAATAACCATACACTGGGTGGATGGATTTAGACATTCTCTGAACAAGCTGGAGCTTTAAATAGATATCGGCATTCAAAGGATTTACTTTCCATTTTTAATAAATCACAATAACATTTTAGTATCCCTAATCGTAAAATATACTTACATATCAAGAATAACTGTATGATAATATGACCCATTATACTGTATTATATTTTAGAAGTATATTATTGTTTTCTCTTTTACAAAAATAGCATTATTTAATATATTTTACAATAAGTATTCAAAATGACTATAAGGCGACGCCTTTGACTTGATACTTGTCAGATGGAAATCCTGTGGCATACTTAATATGTCAGATAAAAGACATTTGACTCAGCTAAAGAATCTTGAAATGTTACTTCTAAACCTGTCAGAGTTGCCAATTGTCAGGCATTGGTTAGCTTTCTCCTCTTTTTGTTGCTTGTAATTACTTTCTCTCCCTCTCCACACAGGTAGGTAGTAGAATGGTCATTGTGGCCGGTGGCTTTGTTCTGCTTTTGACTGGCATGTTTGGCAAGATTGGGGCTGTGTTTGCCAGCATTCCAACACCCATCATTGGAGGAATGTTTCTTGTGATGTTTGGTATCATCGCGGCTGTGGGGGTTTCCAATTTACAGGTAAATTGATTTTTTTAAGGATGAGACAGAACCATGTGGCTTAGGAAATTTCTTTGTAGGAGGAATTACAAAGCAATCCCTTGGTATTTCCTTGTGCCAAATGTATGGATTATCACAACTAATATTCAATTTCTTAATATGCTCATTTGATTGTTTTGCTATGTTTTTATGTCCTTTTATAAGACCACTTGAGCCCATTCTAGCCATATTGACTTCTAAGCAATCTTGTATTGAGAATCTACCCACATATAAGAATTTGATTCCATTTAATATAAATACAATCTGATTCCTTTAGGTTTTCACATTCATTTGGCCTTGGGTATTTTGTTCCCTCGGCTATCTTAGAAAGGTTATGAGAATTGGTTCTTCTCCACAGCTACTCACTCTTACCTTCCTTCCTGCCTATCTTCTCTCCTGAAAAAAACACTAACCCTTCTCTTTTACTATCCTATAAGTTAGGACTACTGCCAACCACCTTTCTTCTTCAGTCTTTTCCCATGAAACCTTTATTCTAGCTACCAAATTCCCATGTCCTATTATAACCCAGTTTATTTACTTTATTTTCAATAGATGCTTTACTATATATTTACAATATATACTTCATTTATAATATATGCTTTACTAAGCATATGTTCCTTCTCCTCTTTACTTCTACCTCTCCTAGCTCTTGTTTCCCCAGTGCTGAATTTTAGATTGTATGTTCTTGGGCTCAGGAACTTGTCTTGCTGTGCTCTGAGTATGTAAAAGTAAGCAAAGGTGTCCTTGAATTGAATTAGACTCTGGGAAACAGCATCCATGCAATTTTCTTGGCAGCATTGTGGAAGAGATTTGCTACCATCTTCTTCAAGGAGACTTTTCACAACTTCTAAATTTGAAATATAAATAAATAAAATAAACTTCCCAATCCAGCCAACAGCCTGGGAATTCCCAGGAGGTTCCCCTTTCTAGTATTAATCAATGCCAACCCTGTTAATACTTGGAGAATCAAAGTTTGGCTAGGTGAGGCTCAGAGTACATAGTATGATATAGTAATACTAACTGGTTTACATATACAATAATAGGCATAAATGAATATGTTTTGTTTCAATTATTCTGCTTTGTCAGTATGCAGACATGAACTCTTCAAGAAACATATTCATCTTTGGATTTTCTATATTTGCGGGTTTGACCGTGCCATACTGGGTGGAGAATAATACAGAAAAACTAAAAACAGGTACATAAGGAGATTACAGCTTTGATTAAGTGTCATCTTTCATCTGAAGTAAGGTTTAAGTCAGAGCAATAATTAAAAGTATAACAACAACAACAAAAAAGGGCAGAATTGCCATATATTAGTATTTTACACTGTGGGTTATATACTCTATCATGGTCTGGAAGGTATTTGTTGTAATAGATATTTTGTGCATGGAAAAATATTGTGGCACGTGGCTCATGTAAGGAGAAGAACATGACTGCAAATGCTGTGATTTAGTTCAGAGGCGAGGGAGGCTATTGCTAATCTGTAACTCCCAGCTAACATGGCCAAATATGAGGGATATTAAGTGATACCATCAGCATCTAGCATAGTTAAGGTTTCCCAGCTCTGATTTATTCACTCTCTTGACTGTATAAATAGGGTGCTTTTATCTAACTGTCTTTGAGAA